ACATGAATTCTATTTGGATTGGCCAGATAATACATGAAATTGGTAATACATGAACAAAACCTCAGTTTGAAAAACAAACTGAAATCGAAAAAAATATAATTAGTAGATTTGCAGTTAGAAAAAAAGAAAATAAAAGTAAACGTGAACCTCAATTTACCAACAAAAAAAAAATTTATCTCAACATGGTATGAAGATTAGCATCTGTAGTTCAAAAAAAAAAAAAACAGGGGGGTGTTTGGCTACATTTCCATGACAGTGCAGTGGGTTTCCTACATGTGAAAAAAAAAATTGACATAAACAAAGCAAACACAAATCAAAAAAACAACCATAGATGTCGAAAAAAAAAATGGAAAAAGATGTTTAACCACCCACAATAATGGCTTTGACAGATGAACCCACCAGATTTGGTTGAAGGCGACGGATTTACGCACAAACAAAGCAATAAAAAAATAAAAACAGAAAAGCAACTAGTACTTGAAGATCGGTGGTGTTTTAGATGGCGAGTTCTTCTTTGGGGTTCTTCGTGCGATGTGTCCTCCGGTTCTGATCAGCTTTGGCGTTGTTCGCGCAATGTCTTCGCCATTCAGCGTCCCTGATTTGCCCCTACGCTTCAGCGTGTTGTTGGTGTGACCTAATTTCAGTGTTGCACGTGTGGTGAGGCGGCGCTCATGTGAAGCAGTGTGGGAGGGGGGTAGTTTGGTAAATTCACACTGGCATGGGACAATGCATTGCACGTCAATCTCTTTTGTCTTCTAGTAGCTAATTTAGCCTTTTTTGGACTGTGGTGGCTATTTTAGCCCAAATCTGCATTCTGAAACGGCGTCTTAGGTGTGGTTTGGAAAGTGAGTTGGCTTTTTGGCTTTTTTGTTATTTTATCCTAGGGCTAAAAAAACCTGGTTTGAGATAGACTTTTTGGATTTTTTTTGCTTTTTGGCTTTTTTGCGAGGTGGCCACATGTGAAATGACCCAAAATGCCCTTATAGTGAAAGTACCAAACTGCACAAACGGCTGACAATTGCTTTTAATATATATATTTTTTTTCCAATTTGTTTTTGTTTTTTTTTTTTTTTTGTCTGGTAGGGCAATTTATGTTTTGTTTTTTTGAAAATTACCTGGAAAATGAATTCACAAACTTGGATAATTTTCTTGGTTTTTTTTTTTTTCATAGTTTTTTATTAATTTGTTTCTTCATTTTGGAAAACGCGTTTTTTATTAATTGTTTGAATTTTTTTTTTTTAAATTAATTTCTTTGTTGGATTTGTTTAAACTTTTTTTTTTTTTTTTTATTTTTTTTGATTTTTTTTTTTTTTTTTTTTTTTTTTTTTTTTGGTGTCTTCTCACTAATCTCTAATTTTTTTCGAGTCAAGATTCTTCCCTTCCACTCCTTCCTTGCATGGCTTTCGGACCGACTTTTAGGCTCAATTTTGATAATCCGAACTGTCATATTTTAATATTTATTCAGTACATCATACCTGTAAAAAATCAAGTTGATCGGATATCAAAAAGTATGTGTTTGAAAAAATCGAACTAAAAACTATTTTTTTTAAGAATTTAATAAACAGTTTTCCAGACACATACTTTCTGATATCCGATCAACTTGATTTTTTTATAAGTATGATATACTGAATAAATCTTAAAATATGAACAATTTAAATTATTAAAATTAGATCTAAAAATAAGCCCGAAAATCCGGTAAAGAGGGAACGTAAGGGGAGGATTCCAATTCATTTTTTCCCCCCTACTTTTAATAGGTATAGACACTTGGCAGCATAAAAGAGCAATACTAGGTATCATGAAATTTTTTTTATAAAAATGATCATGAAAGATTTATGCCTCTTGAATTACACTTAAAATAAAACATCACACACTAATTAAGGTAATTCAAGAGTCGTAATTCTTTCATGATCATTTTCATGAAATTTTTTTTCATTATCGTTAACTTTTCTCGGCATAAAAACAGCAATCCCAACGAAGTGGAACAGAATATTTTAACACCGCACTGGGCAATGGACACATGGCAGCTTAAATGAAAAATTAGATTGCTAACCCAAACTTATTATCAAAATATCTTTATATATTTTGGTTTTCTCAAAATATCTTTATATAAATTATATAAAATTGTATAAAGAGAAGAATTGAACTCAAATTCGAAATCATAATTTATCATTATTTTTATAATAATATTACTTTTTTTTGAGTTGCACATGGGTGCAAATCATCAATATATTAATATAAAAAAAATATAAATCTACTTTCTATACTTATTATTAATAAATAATATAATTAATTAATAATAATAATTAAAAATTATAATTATATAAAAAAAATTATCTTTAATATTGACCGTCGTTTCACTAAACTTGAAAATTGAGTTTATAAAGAATTAGAGGCAGGTGAGAGAATAGAAAAATAATTATCAACCCATAAAGAATGTAAATGACACCTGTATCTCACGGTATTCCATAGTATTTCATTTGAACCCTATTATAAGCACCAAGGATTCTCTAGAGTGAAATTTTCTTAAAGTTTTCTAGAGTACTACATTGTGTAGTTGAGATTTACTGGCAAGTCACATCAGAAAAATTGATGTGACTTGCCAGTAAATCTCAACCACAATATAACACTCTAGGAAACTTTAAGAAAAAATCACTCTAGAGGATCCTTACTCTATTATAAGCGCACTTGCACCTCTCGTATTGATAATTTTTTTTCGTTTCTCCGATCTGCATGTAGTTCTCACACTAATATAAGCATGGCAAAAGAGAATATATAGGCGATATACCGATGAGACGAGCGTTGGAATCGTCTGAATCGTAGACAGGGCACTGGAGGAAGTCCTGGTTGAGGCGAGTGAGGAAGTGGTGAGTTTCGATCTGGCGAGTCATGTCGTGGCTGTACATAGCGAAGGTGCACACATGCTGGCTCATCTGCTTGACTGGCTTCAGAGACTGCATCAACTGGGCTCCTTTGTCCAGTACCTGCTGTCCCATCGTCATCGCCTTCCCCGGCGGAACTGACCCGTCTCCAGGCGGCATCGGACCCGGCGATCTGTCACTCGAAGCCATCCAAATGTCAAAATTCAAAAACCAAAAACCATCTGTCAGATCTTTGCTTGAGAGAGAGAGAGAGAAAGAGAGAATGAATCCACCACCCGAGTGATGATGAGTAGTCGGTGTGAAGAGTGAGGAGAGAGGTATGCAAATGGGTGCGTGGTGGGACGTGGAGAGTGGATAGTGACCCACGTACGCATGCTTGGGGTGTTGAGGTGGCTCGAATTGCTGAAAACCTGTGGTCATATAGTTAGGGATTAGAGAGACGAGGGACACTTGGCCTCTAAAGAGTATATTTATTTGGAGAATTTCCTTTTCTTTTTTTTTTGTGTGTGTTATTTCTATTAAGGCATTTAGCTGTTTATTGTAAAAATAAAAACTTTTTATAACTGTTTTCAAATGGGAGAGACCAGGGAACGGGAGAATTCCCGCTACCGCTGGATTGAATAAAAAAAAATATATATTCTACAGAACGATCACTCCCTCAGTCGTTAGGTGTTTTAATTTTTTCCATTGATGTCGAACTTAAATTTGTACTCGAGAGATAGTTGTTCATATATTGATAAGGGATGTATAGATTTTCGTAATATTTTATTGCAAAATTGATGAATCAATTTAAATTTTAAAAAGAAAGGCAATGTAATAAAGTGTGTTCAGGAATAAACCTACTGCTCTAAGAGCACTTATCCATAAATCGATTAGTAGTACAAATAACATAAAGAAATGTAATCAATGTTTATTGAAAAATGCAACTCCAAAGATTTGGAACCGAAAGTGCTAGCCAATGAATAAATTGTCTCAAAATAATTACACATTTATAAAAAGTAAGAGACTTCTCTCTAGTTCACTGTGTATACTTGAGCGTACTGTTAGGTCAGTGGGGTCTACCACAACTACAAGAAAAAATAGATTTGGCGACCACTTTTGGCTACTAAAAAGAATTTGGTCGCTGAAAGTATAGTTTTCAGCGACTAAAAAAGCATTAGTAGCCAATTGTGAAGCTTTTTGGCGACTAAAAAAATTTACTAGCCAAAAGTCTACAATTGGCGACTAAAAATAAGTTTGGTCGCCAATTTTATGGGTTTTATCGACAAAAACAATTTTAGTAGCCAAAAGTATCATTTTTGCCGACTAATAAACATTTAGTAGCCAAAAAGTCAACAATTGGTGACTAATTATAATTTTGGTCGCCAATTATGTGGGTTTTACCGACTAAAACATTTTAAGTAGCCAAAAGTATCGTTTTTGCCGACTAATAAAGATTTAGTAGCCAAAAAGCCAAGAATTGGCGACTAATTATAATTTTGGTCACCAATTATGTGGGTTTTACTGACTAAAACATTTTTAGTAGCAAAAAATGCAGTTTTTGCCGACTAAAAAATATTTAGTAGCCAAAAAGTCTACAATTGGCGACTAATTATAAGTTTGGTAGCCAATTATGTGGGTTTTACCGACTAAAACATTTTTTAGTAGCCAAAAGCAAGCTTTTTGGCGACTAAAAAAAATTTAGTAGCCAAAAAAAGTCTACAATTGGCTACTAAAAATATGTTTAGTAGCGAAAAGTGGTCTTTTTTAGCCTGAAAGTTTCTTCGGCGACCAAATTTATTTTGGTCGGTAAAAGTTAAATTTTTATTTTTATTTTGCTACTAAATAATTTATTTTTACATAAATTATGTCAATAAAAATAATTTTTTTTATACCTATATTTTTATATTAATACGGATCTATGTACTATATAAATAATATATATTACATATATAATCATATGGTGTTATAGAGGCATAGTGGAAAGTGTGTGGTGCATAAGGCTTATGGTGTGGGAGGTTAGGAGTTTGAGTCTTTCAAAGCTTAGCAATGAATTATTTTTTTTTACGGATGAAGCTTTTGGCTACTAAAAATGTTGGTCGCCGTTTGGTAGCTTTTGACGACTAAATATTTTGGTCGGCGATTCCTTGACTATTGGTGACTAAAACATTGGTCGGTGAATGCATGATTTTAAAGAAATATAATTGACCATTGGCTACCAAAATTTTGGTGGCTAAAGACTTGATTTTTGCCGACTAAAGGTTTTTTAGTCGGCAAAACCTTTCCCGACAGGTTTTTGGCGACAAATGTGGCGACTAAAATTTTTTGTCGCAGAATGGCTTTGGCGACCAAAAAACAGACAATTGGCGACCAATATTTTAGTAGCTAAAAGTGACTTTTTTTGTAGTGCACGGGTCCCGTTTTGATAATTTGAACCATATAATATGTACAGTTCGTCAAATATTTCATTCCTATAAAATATCATGTCGATCGGATATCGGTTTTCCCTTGATTGGAATACATTTTTATTAACAATTTATTTTTAAAATCATATTTACCATTGATAAAATTTTGTTTCGATCGAGGGGCTATCAATATCTAATCAATATGATTTTTTTACAAGCATGAAATACTTGACGAACTCTATACATTGAACAGTTTGAATTATTAAAACATGACCCGTGATGGGGCTGAAGGACTTAACAATATGCTCCAGTTCACATAATGAATTGGAGAGAAGCCTCTCTCTATAAAAAAAATTGAAGAAATTGTTAATCTGTGATTTTTCCACAAAATATTTATAAATTCATGAAGAAGATTATAACTTTATTTATTAAAGTTGATGAAATTTATCGTCGGCCTCCCGGGGCAAAACAATGTGCAGAGACCTATGGAACTTCAGACTTTCATGGAGCCACCGGCTTGGATTAGGAGAAGAGCTAAATGCACAAACATGTTGCACAAAATCAATCACAGTCAATACATAAAGGGTGGATCCTACTTATGTGAGATTTGCATGTAGGACCTACCTTTTGTGTATTGTTAACGACTAATTCTGTGCAATATTAATGTATTTGTAGCAAAGCTCCTCAGATTAGACATATGTTGGCTTTAGATGCTCTTGATTGGAGATTTTCTAGTTAGTTGTTTTTTTCTTTTTTTTTTTCTTTTTTGTACTTTAAAAAAAAAATTAATAAAGTTTATCACTGATTTGTAATTTCTTTTAAAAAACCTGCACTGAAATTCAGTTTCCTAAAAAAATTTATAATTTTAATCATGTTAATTTGAATTTTTTTCCCCACATATACACTGATTTGTTGTTTCTTCTATAAAATTTAAGGAATTTGTGCCAATTACGACATTTGCGGTCTTCGATTATGACTTATTATGGTGTTAGTCATGACTTAGTTATAACTTGGTTGATTCATTATGGTATTAGTTATCATTACGATATTAGTTATATGAACTATTGTGATTATTATTTTGACTATAATAAAAAAGATATTTAATTCTATCTTATGGGTAGGAATGGCAACGGGGCAGGGCGGGGCGGGGCCGGGGATCGCACTTCCCGTCCCCGATCCCGCAGCTACAAAATTCCCTGTCCCCGTCCCCGATCCTTGGCGGGGAACCCATCACCTTGTAGACACTCCATTTTTGACGGCCCTTTAAGACTTGGATGTTCTTGTAGGTACATCTGAGGATGAGTCTGATTGCTCGCCGAACGCTTGAAGTCTCTAGCGGAATGCCACAGGTTTGAGCATTTCAAATCCTGCATCCATTTTGTCTCATCTTTGAATCATGCTTGGGTCTTTTCAGCCTGAAGTTTCTGATGGCCTGCCGGCCATCCTTGGAGGCTGCCGGCCACCACTTCTCCTTTGCCAGCCATTGATGTGCCTTGCCGGCCATCAATGATGCCTTGTCAGCCACCACTGATGGCCGGTCGGCCACCATTGTTTGCTGCAGATATTTTGTGATATTTTGTGCCAGCTGTTGCACACATTCATGCATCTTCCTACACGTGTGTGGCTGGATGTTTGGGAGAGAAATTTGTGTTTTTCTATATATAAGACCCCTCTCTCTCATGTGTAGGGGTTAGAAAAATTTGAGACATAAAAATTTCTCTCTCTCTCTCTAGATTGCTCTCTCTCTCTCTCTTACAACTTTATACCTAAGTGCTTGTTTTCTCTACACTTTTACATATACTACCTTAACCAAAATTGCTAGTCTTTGAGCTGAGGTAACCTGGGACCTTTTTTGAGCTCTAGAAGGTGGTTTTTGGCTTGGATTGTTGGCCAACTTGTGCTTTGCTTCAAAGGTATAACGCTTGCCTTGTTTATACTTATTTTGTGTACTTGTTTTGCCATCATTTTCAACTATTTTGGGGTTGGTTTTGAACTATAAAAAGCTCTATTTTTGTGACTTAAAAATTGTGGTTTGAGCCCTTTTTAGTTAGGGGGTGGTTCACCCTTCTTGTTTCTATGTGTATAAAGCTTTTGTGCCTTTATTCATCACTTTAAAACCAACTTTTTTGGGTCTTTTAACCACTGAATTTACAGATTTTTTAGTGGTAAAAAAACTCATTTTGAAGTCCAAAATTGGAGGGTTTAGCCTCCCCTCCTTGTGTTTTGTTTGCATGCCTAGTTAGCCTCATGTATTAGCTTAATGTTTTAGCTTTTTGTGGCTCAAGTCCAGCATGTTTTAGGCTCTGTTTTGAACTATTTTAGCTCAGTTTTGGGTTGGTTAAGTCTTTGGAGTCTTGTTTTGCATAGTTGTAGTGTAAGTTTCTTGGACTAGCTTGTTGTTTTAAGGCTTTAAACATCATTGGTTTGATTTGATTGCATGTTTTAGTACTTTTTCACTTCATTCCAGCACTTGTAATCTCTGCAATCTCCCTCATTTCTTCACTTTTTGGTTTTTCTTTGAAAGTGGTTTCAAACTACTTGTTTGCCTAAGTGTGAAATGTAGGTGCTACACCTAATGGTTTAATCCCTTAGGGGGTTCATTACTAGCAGTGGAATGCCTCTTTCATGTCCAAAGTAACTTGTGGTTTGAACCCTCCTTCCATTAGAGGACACTCACCAATAAACTTAATGGACTAAAGGATGATTTGGTAATTAAAATGAGTAAACAAAATTGACAAGTAAAAGAGGCAAGATAAGCATTCTTTATGTTGCATTGCATATGTTCAAATCGGACATTAATTTGAACACAAGGCAAATGGGACATTTCTTACTCAATAGTGATGAAATGTGTCATTTTCCTAGGTCTCCATTGCCCTTGATCATGCATGATAGGGTGATGGCCATTTGAGTCTTGTTTTTGTATTTATTGAACTTGGACAATTAGTTTCACGAGCCATCATGCAATGAAATTGCTTGATTGGGGGTTTTGTGAACCAAATCTTGTCCCTCCTTTGATGTTCCCATGAAAAGGAGAGACAAGGTGTGCAGACAACCCTTGGAAAAACCCCATTTTTGTTCTGT